GGGTGCTTATCCTGTGCTGATTTTCTTCCAGGAGTGGGGCGATCTGGATATGGGTCCCTGCTCTTGAATCCAGTTTCATAATAGGGACAGTGTAGTACATTTACAGGTGGTGCCTAGGCAAGAACCCTATAGAGCTATCAGAGTTATGTGCGAGTCAAACTGTGCCTCAAAGGAATTCTCAGAAGTCGGTTACCAGGCCTTTCTTCTGATGCACTTCTGTGTGGACTTAAACTTTAGCAGGCCATTGTGTTAATGGTGCACACCACCCAGGGACTTCAGAACAATCAGAGAGGGACTGTTAATTGACTAGAAGTTGATGCTCTTTATCAAAGCAAATGAAAACTCTAGTAAAAGAACGTTCATAGGTGTGCCTTGTAAGCCAGTTGTTAAGAGCCATACAGTCACTTCTGATCGACAGTGACCCTTTGTAGGATTTCCCAGGAGCAGTTAGTGGGTTTGAATTGCCAGCTTTGCAGTTAGCAGTCCAGTGCTTGTCCTATGATGCCACACCAGGACTCTAAGCAGTCCAGTTGTTGTTACTGAGTGCCATCGAGTAGGTTCTGATTCATAGTGACCCTGTCTGTATAGGGTTTCCCAGAAGCGGCTGGTGAGTTTGAACAGCCGACCTTGGGGTTCAAAACGATCATGTGGTCCAGCACATTATCCTGCAGTGCCACACTAATGAGTTTCCCAGGAGCAGCTGGTGAGTTACAACCACTGACCTTGCGATTTAAATGACCTTTTGGTCCAGTGCATTATCCCACAGTGCCACACTAGTACTCCAGCACTCCAGTTGTTGTTGTTGTTGTTAAGTGCCATCGAGTTGGTTTCAATCCATGGTGACCATGTATAGCGTTTCCAAGGCCCACTGGCTTTGCGGTTCAAATAGACTTTGGGGTCCAGCACATTAACCCACAGTGCCAAAGTCCAGTAGGGAGATCTATTTCAGTTGCTATATCTGTGAACTTGGAATTGAGTTTTCTAGAGTAATGATTGGAATTTTTCAGTAGACCTTAAAATTGAATCAGCGAATTAGGTCCAGTCTTAGACCAGAAAGCATCTGCAACTTTTTATGTTTTGATGCCAAGTTTCCATTTTAACTAATTGTACTTTGAGGAGAAAGATTAATAAATCAAATAAGGGGGAAAAAACTAAGTTCTTGCCAAATTCCCAAACAATAGGTATTGTTGAGCTGTAGTGTTGAACCTCTAGTTGGGTCCAGTTCTTTGGAAACAGCAATTGTAGATTTTTGTTCTTTACTATTATTTATTTATTTATTTTTAACTTGGTTGCTTCTATGGGGAAACATTTTTATTTGCATTACAAAGCCCGGATGATCTATTCAAATGCAAGTCTCTAATGGAAGAGAACAAAGCGATTCTTGTGAATGTAATGGTTGTTTTTCCTGTTATGGACCAAGTGGGTTACTGACAAATCAGAAACATGTGAAAGCAAGGAAATTTAGTTCATTTTGTTAAGATGTATTAAGTGGCACATTTTGCTAAGCTGACCAATATTTTTAATTGCCAGTAGAATACAATATTTCATCAGGTAGAGAGGGTTAGAGCCAGTAAGTGCCTTTGTTTAATTTACTACAAAACCATAATTTAAAAGGATTCACTGGATAAGAGAACTGGAGCTATAATGCGTTTGTTTTGTGGCTAAATTATACCCCATTGCCAGTGAAGAATATTTTTAGATTTCAATTACTGCATACAGTATAAATATTACATGATGGTTATTTTTATTTTATTGTACACTCAGTACAGTGAGGAGATCTGGGTCTAGGTCTGTTTTCAACCCGGTATCCTTTAAGAGCTAAGTGTGGGTCTCTGAATTGCTTGTTACTTTTGAAGATGAAAAAAAAATACAAAAAATAGTAGGCATTTAATGAAGTTAATAGGAATTGTTGTTGTTGTTGTTATGTGCCGTGGAGTTGGTTCCGACTCATAGCAACCCTGTGCAGGGTTTCCGAGGCTGCAAATCTTTATGGGAGCAGAAAGCCTCAGCTTTCTCCCGCGGGACAGCTGGAATTAGGCATTTTTAACTTGTTGTAAACCAAAAGATTGGTGGTTCAAACCCACTAGCCATTCTGTGGGAGACAACACATGGCAGCTTTTTCCTGTAAGGTTTAAAAACCAAAGCCCCTGCCATCAAATGATTCTGACGCAACCACCTGTTTGTTGTGGTTACTAAAAGCCTTCCAGCCAGTTCTGACTCAAAGAGGTCCGGTTTCCAAGGAGCCCCTGGTGAGTTTGAACTGCCCTATACAGGGTCGTTAAGGGTCAGAACTGACTCAATGGCACTTCACAACAACAACCTTGCAGTTACCAGTCCACTGTTGATCCTATGGCACCACACCAGGACTCCTATAACTTGCTTGTCGTTGTTAGGTGCCATCAAGTCGGTACTTACAGCGACTCAACAGAACAAAACATTGCCCTGTCCTGGGCCAACCAGCCTCACAATTTTTGCCACATTTGAGACCATTGATACTGTCATTTTGCCAATCCACCTTGCTGGGGGTCTTCCTCTTTTTCTCTGACCCACCACCTTACCAAACATGATATCCTTCTCCAGTGACTGGTCCCTCCTGACAATATGTCCCAAGTATGAGAGATGAAGTTTGGCCATCCTGGACTCCAAGGAGCACTCTGGTTGCACTTCTTCCAACACAGACCTGTTGGTTCCTTTGGCAGCCCATGGCACTTTCAGTATTCCCCTCCAACACCATAACTCAAAAACATCAATTCTTCTATGGTCTTCCTTATTCACTGTCCAGCTTTCACATACATATGAGGTTATTGAAAATACTATGGTTTCGGTCAGGTGCACCTTAGTCCTCAAACTGACATCTTTTTGCTCTTCAACATTTTTAAAAGGTCTTGTGCAGCAGATTTGCCTAATGCAATATAAAACGTCATTTGATTTCTTGGCTGCTGCTTCTGAGAGTGTTGATAGTTCATCCAAGAAGAGTGAAGTCGTTAACAACTTCAGTCTTTTCTCCATTGATAAGAATGTTGTTTATTGGTTCAGTGGTAAGGATTTTTGTTTTCTTTACATTGAGATGTAATCTATACCAAGACTGTGCTCTTTGATCTTCATCAGTAAATGTTTTAAGGCCTCTTCACTTTCAGCAAGCAAGGTTGTATCATCTGCATATCGCAGGTTGTTAATGAGTCTTCCTCCAATCCTGATGCCACATTTTTCTTCATAGAAACCAACTTCTCAGATTATGTGCTCAGCATACAGGTTGAATAAGTATGGTGAAAGAATACAACCCTGTTGCACACCTTTCTTCATTTTAAAACATTCAGTGTTCCCATGTTCTGTTCGAACAACTGCCTCTTGGTCCTTGCTGTTACGTCTTTCTCCCTCAAAGCAGCTGGTGAGTTTGGGTTAGTAGCCAAGTGCGTAACCATTGTGCCACCAGGGCTTCTGTCATAAAGATTGTTGTTGTTAAGTGCTGTTGAATTGGTTCTAACTCCTAATGACCCTGTATAGGGTATCAGAGGAGTGGCTGGTAGGTCCTACAGCACGTCACCAGGGCTCCTAGCAGAACCTCCACAAGAGGAGACAGGACTGTTACTGCTACTGTGGTCTGTAAGGTGCTGCCAAGTCGGTTCTGATCCATAGCGACCCTGTATAGGGTTTCCGAGGAGAAGCTGGTGAGTTTGAACTGCCAACCTTGCAGTTCAAACTGACCTTGTGGTCTAGTGCTTATCTTATATAGAACCACACCAGGACTCTACTGATGTATTTACAGCCTAGGAAACCTGATAGGGCAGTTCCTCATCCTATAGGCTTGCTCTGAACAGGAAGCTACTTGGCGGCAGGCATACAACAGTAATATAACATTTTTATCCAAGTCTGTGTCCACAATGGATTGGGATTAAAATCCAACGTGGTAATTTTTACACCTCATATAGTTTGGAAGCACAGCTCCAATGCTTACTGTAGTACCTAGAATGCAGTGAATGCTTATTTAACTATTTTAAGGACCAGACATTCTGAGGGGTCAGAGTTAGGGATTCAACTCAAGTTTTTATTGAGTGTCTGCTTTGGGGTAGTGCTGGGCTAGGAACTATGGTGATGTGTCTAGAAAAAGAATTTACAGTTATTTCTTCTCATGGAATTAACAACTCATTAAAAAAGTCTCTGAAGTGCAAAACAATTAAGTAATGATGTGAGACAGGATGTAAGTGGTTACTAAAACTTCAGAATGAAGAGTCAACACTCAAGCATTAAAACTGGAACCAGGCAGGTGGTGTAGACTTGTCAGGGAACGTTCATGGAGCCTTCGGAACCTGACTTGGCCAACGAAGATTGAACAGGAGTTGAAGGTGGAAAAAACCATTCCATTCTGGGGTGGGGGTGGCGTGAAATAGCTGAAAACAGGAACAAATTGCCCCAGAGACTCTAGTGTGAAGGAATGGTCTATTCTCCACAAAAATTCCCACTCCAGATTCCTCTTGGCAGTGTACAGCACTGGAGATCTTTCAATATGGAAGAGTCTAGAATTTTTCATCAGGTTAATAAAGGAAATATTGTGAAAAGAAGGGCTTAAAGTCTGGAGGCCAATTTGGAGGCTACTCAAGTAAGCCAAATCAGAGCCTCTGTGGTCTGGGACAGGCAGAAGCAGGGCATATGGAAAATGACATGTAGTAGAGTTCCTTGTGAACCAACGCCAGTTCACCCGTCTTGGTGCCTGATGTTCCTGTACATACTGCGACCACTAAGGTAATTTTAGAGTAGATGAAACAGAGTATTGGAGGGGAAAAAGGAGAGTCCCATATGTTTATGAGCTAAAGCTCACATGATATGAAAAGGGTGGTATTTTTGTCTAGTAGACTTGTTGAGAATGGAAACTGGTTTGGGGAAGAGCAGTGGGGGTCTTTCTGTGTTTTTAGTGTGACATATGTCTCTAGAGGTAATTCTAGAGGATTGCTGCTGCTGGACAGACAGGTGGGTCTGACACAGTGTTTGTTCCTTCTCCCCAGGTGTGAGGAAGACACAGTCACTCTACATGAAGACCAGACTGATTGTTCCAGTCTCAGGTACAGCTCACTATGGCTTGGTTCTCGTTTGTGAAGGACAGACACTACACACCTTTGGATTCTAATTATTTATTCATGCGTCTTGTCTTTTTTACTAGATATTGTTAGTAAGGGACCTTTCCTCTTAGGTACTTTTGGATTTCCCACTTAGCACACAATACAGTGCTGGCATAATATGTAATAAATGCCTGCTGAGTAGACCACTGAGTTGCTCGTCTTAATGTTCCCATAATACACCTGAAGGAAGAGGCCCTAAATTTATTTCTCAAACATGGTATTGTGTGTCTGGAATCATAGTTAACCCTTTCTTCAACATTTGCTTTGTACAAGACACTTTGGGACATGATTTCATGAAGTGAGAGGAAGCTGATGTTTCTCTCCTCATTGTGTAGATGGAGAAACTGAGGCATGGAAGAATTAGAAGGCGTCCACGATAATAGAATCACTGTGAGGCAGAATTTGGACCTAAGTCTGTATTCTTCATAATCCACTTATTGGAAATTAGACATTTATCCAAGATCTGCTTTGTGTGCCACAAACCGTTCTAAATGAGGGGTGGAGAAAGACAAACGCCTGCTCCCAGGAATTCATTTTACTGGAGGAGATGGACAAGAGTATAGAAAATGACCAGACAGGGTGTTACGTGCTATTAAAGCTAAAGGTCAATAGAGAACATACTTGTAGTCCAGAGAGGCATCTGGGATGGTTCACTGAAGAAAGCTAAGCCTAACTTAAGGTGCTGTATACAGTTAACAGACCCCTGGTTGTGAACGGAAAGATTGGAGGTTTGAGCCCACAGAGAGGTGTTTTGGAGGGAAACCTTGGTAATTTGCATCTGAAAGACTGCAGCTATTGAAAATCCTATAGAGCACAGCCTGTTGTGACACACGTGGGGTTACCATGGGTCTGAATTGAGTTGATGGCAGCTGGTAGGTAGGTAAGATCAAGAAAAGGATCAGGTCACCAAGCAGACAGAATATTACACTGGGAAGCCACAGAGGGTAAAGGCAAGAGTTTGAGTTGATGGAATTGCCATCAGTTCAGGATGGTAGGAACACTGAGTGTTGGGTCGGGGTGAAGAAACACGGGTATCAAGAAATGAATCTGGAGAGATAAACAGAGACCAGATTTCAAAGGGTTTATATGCCGTGTAAGGACTTTGGAATGTGTTTTGGAGGCATTGGGAAGACTAAAAAGAAGTCTCATTTTTTTCTTTGCCAATAAGCACTTGCCTAAGGTCCCACATGAAAGCAACAATAGCTACTATTTATTAGGTGGTGGTTTGGGGCCAGCTTTTCACAGAGACTGCATTATCTCTGAAAGGTAGATGTTACCTCCATTTCATGGATGAAGAGAAGAGAGGTGAAGTGAAGTGACCCAGGCTACACAACTTAATAGGTGTGAGAACCTTTTAGACTTGTTCTTTGCAGAACACCATGCTCATTCTCAGTTATGATGATGCTGGTAAGTTGTTGTTGTTAGGTGCCATCTAGTCAGTACTAACTCATAGTGACCCTATGCACAACAGAACGAAACACTACCTGGTCCTGGGCTAACCTCACAATAGTTGCCATGCTTGAGCCCACCGATGCTGCTACTTTGCCAATCCATCTCGCCGGGGGTCCTTCTCTTTTTCTCCGACCCTCCACCTTACCAAATATGATATCCTTCTCCAGTGACTAGTCCCTCCTGACAATATGTCCGAAGTATGAGAGACGAAGTTTGGGCATCCTGGCCTCGAAGGAGCACTCTGGCTGCACTTCTTCCAACACAGAATTGTTGGTTCTTTTGGCAGCCCATGGCACTTTCAGTATTCTCCTCCAACACCATAACTCAAAAGCATCAATTCTTCTACGGTCTTCCTTACTCACTGTCCAGCTTTCGCATACATATGAGATTATTGAAAATACCATGGCTTGGGTCAAGCGCACCTAAGTCCTCAAGCTGACATCTTTGCTCTTCAACACTTTAAAAAGGTCTTGTGCAGCAGATTTGTCTAAGGCAATATGTCATTTGGTTTCTTGGCTGCTGCTCCCATGAGTGTTGATGGTTGATCTAAGAAAAATGAAGTCTTTGACAACTTCAAACTTTACTCCATTGATAAGAAAGAATGTTGTTTGTTGGTCCAGTGGTGAGGATTTTTGTTTTCTCTACATTGAGATGCAATCCATACTGAAGGCTGTGCTCTTTGATCTTCATCAGTAAGTATTTTAAGTCCTCTTCACTTTCAGCAAGGAAGGTTGTATAATTTGCATATCGCAGGGTAATGAGTCTTCCTCCAATCCTGATGCCATGTTTTTCTTCATAGAACCCAGCTTCTTGGATTATTTGCTCAGCATACAGGTTAAATAAGTATGGTGAAAGAATACAGCTCTGTCACATATCTTTCCTAATTTTAAACCATTTGGTATTCCCATGTTCTGTTTGAACAATTGCTTCTTGATCCATGTACAGATTCCTCTTGAGCCCAATTAAATGTTGTGGAATTATCATAATTTGCAATATTGTCCATAGCTTGCCATACATTTCATAACCTGTATTTTTTCTGATTCAGGGGAACCAATAGCATGTTAGAAGCATAGTTCTAAGGGTGACTTTTTAATTCAGGTGTTACATTTTTGTAATGGGAGAATACTCTTTGCTCCCTTTCCCTGCTTACTTGTCTTTCAAGTCTAGACGGTGAGTAAGATGACACTGAAATTTTGGGCACCTTGAAAACATGGAATAAAAACAACATCCTGGTATTATTTTAGGAATAAGTCTATAAAAAGAAGTGTTTTAGATTTGTGAAGCCACCTTTTGTCCCCCCTTCTTGGGTGTTCTAGAATCCTCCGTGAGCGGAGATGATTTAGGTAGCTGTGAAGGCAGCTGCTCTTTTTTTTTCCACACAGGGAAGTGGAGTACATGGATGAATATTATTTGTTTGAAGTGAGAGAAATGCAGTTCCTGGTGTGGCACCATAGGTTAAGCACTCAACCTCAAGATCTATTTGCACTGCAAAGTCGACGGCGGTTCAGACTCACTAGATGCTCTTCGGAAACTCTGTACAGGGTTGCTATGACTCAGAACTGACTCAAAAGCCCTTAAGAACAACAACTACAGTGTCGTCTCTGAGTCATGGTTTGACATTGATTTCTAATCCATTAGTGACAGAATTTTTTTTTTTTTTTAATTGTAAACAATCTTAATGAATAAACTTCATCCACTCAGATATTTAGGGCAATATTTAGATGGCCCGGTTGGGTAAAATTTGGCCCTTGCCTTTTATATTTTACCCAAGTAACATGCATCATCCTATTAAAATAAATCCTAATAAACCTTTTAAATGGGGGCAGTGGTGGTTCAGTGGTAAAATTCTTCCTTTCCATAGGGGAGACCCGAGTTCAATTCCCGGCCATTGCGTCTTGTGTGTAGTCATCACTTGTCTGTCAGTGTGACTTGCATTTTGCTAAATGCTGAACAAGTTTCAGTGGCGCTTGTGGTTGTAGACACACTAAGAAGAAAGTCTTTGGGTCTACTTCTGAACAATCAGCCAACGAGATCCCTTTGAATCACATTAGTCCAAATAGTTGTGAAGGGGTTGCCTTGAGTTAGAGGCCAACATAATGGGAGCTAACAACAAGAGGAAAACCTTTAAAGGCCTCTGAATGTTACAGAGAGATGAGTTAAACGAATGTTGTCAGTAAGGAGGAAGTATCAGGCCTTGGACCTAGAGCACAGGCATGAGAGTGTGGAGACTGGAATGACAGCTCTGGGTTGGTGTGAATTACCCTTCATTTAACTTTTGGGTTTCAGAGCCTTAAACTTGGAGTTGGGTGCTAATATCTAACCTGGATGTCTTGTATTATTCTTGTGAGAGGAAAGTATGACTCATGTTAAATCATTTTAAAAGTAGAAAAGTAAAAACAAATAATAATGCTATGTATATTGCTCCAAGTTTTATATATATATAGAAAGAGAGAGAGAGAGAGAGAGAGAGAGAGAGAGCAAGAGCTCTGGTAGCGTAGTGGTTATGAGTCGGGCTGCCAACCTCAAAAGTCAGCAGTTTGAAACTACCAGCAGTTTCACGGGAGAATGATTAGGCGTTCTGCTCCCATAAAGATTTACAGCCTTGGAAACCCTGTGCAGGGTCACTTTGAGACGGAACCGACTCCACAGTACTTAACAACAACAAATATATATATATATATATATGTATCCCAGGTGTGGCGGTGTAGGATAAACACTGGACTGCTAAACACAAGATTGTCATTGGAAACCCTGTACAAGGTCACTATGAGTCAAAACTGGCTCCATGACTCTTAAGAACAATTATATATAGAGAGACTTTTGGTGTGGTGCTGGATAAGTACTGGACTACTAACCACAAAGTTGATAGCTCAAGCTCACTGGCAACTCCTTGGAAACCCTATACAAGTCCAAGACACTAAACAAAAACAAATATATATAGTCATAGTCATGGAGTCCTGGTGAGGCACTGTGGGCTAATGCATCACACTGCAAAATCATTTGAACTGCAAGGTGGAGTTATATAAAGCATGAAATTCACATTTCTTAGTTTCCTTTTCATGTGAAACTTTCCAAGTCTTCACTAAAAATATTGCTAGGTATTGTATAAATGCAGCCACAGTGAATACCGCCAGCCTCCTTTTCCTGTAGTAGTGTATTCATTTTCTTTGCTCTTCTAAATTGGGCCTTTCTTGTTTTAGAGATGAAAACAATAAAGAAAATTACCCGGACGCTGGGGCGCTCCTAGATGAGCACCCGCCACTCTCGCGAGAGGCTCAGCAGCATGCAGAGCAGACCTTGCTGGTGGACGGTGTGTTGAGACCCAGCATGGGCAACTTCAAGTCCCGGAAACCTAAGTCCATCATCAAAGCAGACAACGGGAGGAGCCACGCAGAAAATCAGGTAGTAGACTCTGCTTTTCAAGCCTTTGCCAAAATTGATGCTTCTCGGGTGGGATCACAATTCTGGCATATGGTTGGAGTGCGTTATTTTGCAGGAGGTGATTTGGTGACTTGTCATTGAGTCATTGAGCGCATGGGTATTGCAGGCTTGGAGATGCTCTTGTTGGTGAACAGTTGGGTGCTCTGGGCATGCTAATAATGTACTTCCTTATTAATTGATGGAGTCCTTGGAAAAGGGAAATGGTTAGTAGTGCCAGCACTATGGTTCCTGTCACCCACCACCCCATGGACCTCCCCTCATATGTGACCCTACAGAATCCTTAGTAATGTTCAGTGTAAATTTTAATCATAGAAGACTATGTCATACATATAGCTTTAAATAGCTTAAATGCAGTATTTCTTAGATCATATAAATAACCATACCAAAATGGTTTTGTAAAATATTTCTACATTAAGTTACAACATTATTCATTGCACCATTATTGATATCGCAGTGGAAGCCTTATTTTGATTTTTCTCCTTTTCTACTAGTTCATTCTTAAATAAGTTATTGATATGGGTTCAAAAATACTAATTACCACAATATTTTAACTAAAACACCAGAAAATTTGACAGAAAATAGAATCAAATTTTTGACTCTGGAAACACGAGCGGCAGTGAAAGCAACAGCATGTGCTTGTAACACGTGCAGACGAAACCATATCACGTGAAGCATCATTGTCATTGAGTGATGATTACAACTGGGACTAGAGCACATTATATGGTTCAAAAAGTAAATGAGTTTAGAGTTTTAGCCTTGTATGTATATTGATACATGTAAGCTGAGCTTACAAACATGTTTTTATTGTTTTAACTAACTACAGGGATATAGTTTCTACTGAAACACATATAAAAGTTGTATACACCATCATGTTGTGGTAGTGTTATCTAGTGTGGTTTGAACCTCCCTAGTGTGTTGCATAGTGGTTTTTAATCGGGCTGCTAACCTCAGGGTCATCAGTTTGAAACTACCAGCTGTTCCGCTGGAGAAAGATGAAGCTTTCTGCTCCGGTAAAGATTTATAGCCTCAGAAACCCTGTACAGGATCACTATGAGTTGGAACCGACTCCATGGCACATAACAACAACAACAGTGTGTTGACAGCTAACATGCGTGGCAGCGGAAAGGTTATAGGTTCCAATTTACCCAGTGGTACCTTAGAAGATAGCCCTGGCTTGTGCTTTGGTTCAGTTAACCGGGGAGCACACTTGTATTCTCACAGCCATGGGGTTTCCGTGAATTACAGTGGACTGCTTGTTTTAAAATTGGTGTTCTTCATAACTGGATTTTGACATTGATTTAGAGCAGGGGCTTTGCTCTTTGAGGGGAGGGTGGAGGAAGAACTCTGCTCTCTTAGTCTTTTCGTTTATCCTGGATGATGCAGCTCTGACTCCTAATGGGGGATTCTGTTCATAAATGAAAAGTCCAGATTTGCCTTCAGTTGCTTAACAAAGATTTTGGGGATGGAACAGGATCGGGCAGTGTTTCATTCTGTTGTGCAAAAAGTGGCTATGAGTCAGAACCAACTCGATGGCACGTAACAACAACAACAACAACAACAACTTTCCTCATGCTGTAGGTTAGCAGTATGTTCAAGGGGGCTTCAAAAAGCACGTTGAAAGCTTTATTATCTTTTAATTCAGTTTTTCCATGAACTTTTTGAAGTGTGTATGTGCTGTAGTACCTGCTTATTTGAGGTTAATAATAATTTAAATGAGTGAATGGAGCATCTTTTCAATTAAATTCTGATAATAAACTTACAATGGTATATTTTCTACTTCTATAGAGATAAAACAAAGAAATTGATTTTTTTTAATTTTAAAAATCACTCAAATAATTGATGAAACTCTTAGATGAGATTATGAGTATAATCTACTTTAATATCACTAGAAGATTAATGTTCCCAATACAGATTAGACCTGTAATGCACCTAACATATTTTTTTGTTTTTGTTTTTGTTTTTTTGGTATAGATGCTCTACAAATGTTGACTTTACTTTTGTGTTACCATTTAATCTTAAAAATAATATTGGAGTCTCTAAGAATAATAAATTAATGATGTAGTAACTTTCAGTCCAACCTTGTTTAGCAAATGAGGTGATCTTCCTTTTCGAACAACTTTGGCGAGACAATTTATTTGACCTTTTGGTTTAATTGTGAACATTGTGCATTTTATCTCCTTCCTTCCTTGACACGGTAGCTTCCTTATTTAGTCAGGTCATTTTGCAGGAAGATGAAAATGACCTCGATCTTTGTGAAGAAGTATTGTGATGATCTTAAACAGGATAGAACTCTCACTGCAGACAGAGGGGAGCGTAAACAACATTAGAATTACGATCAGTTTGAGACTCTGCCTGCTATGTAAAGCACCCCAGGCCTTGTATGATTAGGAGTGTACTAACAGGGCTGCCCCAGAGTCCGCGCGGTCCTAGGAAGGCTAGGACCTTGAATTTGCCTGCCAGGGATCACCTGTGTCATATTGCACTGTGGGGTGGCCAGTCATCTCTCCTTTGTGGTCTGATCTCACAGAAATTGTACAAGAGTCACCTGTAACAAGGTGCCAATGTGGCATATAATCCCCAATCTGCGGTCCATACACAAGAGGATTTCAGGAGAAAGAAATGTTTAAATAGTCTTTGCTCATTCAATTCCAGTGCCCATGTACAGCGATGAAATCCGAAACTGTATTTCCCAGTTAACTCATGACATCTTTATCCTCTGTTTACCTCCTCGTAGTGATTGGAATCCTGGTGTGATAATGTGAGCTAATGAGTTGGACTACAAGGTCATTTTGAACCACAAGGTTGGTGGTTCAAGCTCACCAACCCCTCCTCAGAAATCACACACAGGGTCACTATGGGTCAGAATCAACTCGACAGTATTTAACAACAACAACATGCATAGTGATCACGAGCTGAGTCAGGAGAAAGATGATGCTTTCTGCTCCCATTAAGATTTACAGCCTCAGAAACCCTGTACAGGGTCACTATGAGTTGGAACCGACTCCATGGCACATAACCAACACCATCTATATCTGTACAGCTAGCGTTTTTTGCTTATAAATGACTGAGAGAATTTTGATAATATTAATTTAGGTCTTGTTGATTTTGCAGACATTTGACAGATATTTCCTATAATGAATACTATTTATAATAATATTGGCATCTCTAAGAATAAAAAATTCTTCATTATTATTAGTAGTATTATAAATAATACTATTAACTGACACTTATTTAAACTTTCACTGTGTTCTAGATATATTATTCCATGAAGTGAGTTTCTCATCTTTTTGTACAAATGGCAAAACTAAAGACCAGAGAGATTAGATAACTTGGTTAAGGTTACACAAACCATGTACATTTGAAAGAATGTCTAGTATTCTCCATAAAAGCAGTGTTTCAAAAATGAAATACCCAGATCTTCCAACAGTAAGCCTAGAGATTTAGCTACTTCTTTTAACTACGCACACCTTAATTTTTGTATAAAACCTAGGATTTCTCATTTGTTAGTTTTCTTCCCTTTGGTAGTGTACTGTGTTGCTAAGTAGTCATTTCTTAATTATGAAGGAAAATATTGAAGAGGCTTTTAAAAGTATTTTGTTTAATTTTTTTGTTTTCCTTTGTGATATTGATGATCTAAATCTAGATAAATGTTGTTTGAGTGGATGTTAGGTTCATTAGAATGTAAGTTCCTTGAGGCCAGTAGATCAGTTTGCCTGGTCTCTTGTTTTATTTCCAACACCAAGTAGTCACTCAGCATAATTGATGAGAGACTTAAAACTGCTAAGTTTGCTGTTGTGCTTAAGGGCTGCCAAGTTGGTTCTGACTCATAGTGACGCTGCGTAAGGTTTCCGAGGCTTTAAATCTTTGTGGGAGCAGAAAGCCTCATCTTTTTCTCATGAAGTGGCTGGTGGGCTCAAACTGCTGACCTTGTGGTTCCAAGTCCACTGCTTATCCTGTTGAGCCACAGCATTGCACATTTATGTGTGTATATATTGTTAAGTGCCATCGAGTCATTTCTGACTCATGGTGACCGTGTATGGGGTTTCTGAGAAGTGGGTCATTTGAATTGCCGACCTTGTCTTTCATAGTCTGTTGTTGTTGTTGTTATGTGCCGTCAAGTCGGTTCCGACTCATAGCGACCCTGTACAGGGTTTCCGAGGGTGTAAATCTTTACGGGAGTAGAAAGTCTCATCTTTCTCCCGCGGAGCGGCTGGTAGTTTCGAACCGCTGACCTTAAGGTTCGCAGCCCGATTCGTAACCACTACGCTACCAGAGCTCCTTCTTACTTACTTATTCTACAGCTCTGTGTGTGTGAGTATAGGCTTCAAAAAATGTGTAGAAAAATTCCATTAACTTTTGATTCCATTTTTCATGGACTTTTGAAGCCTGTTCATACATATATACATATACACATACATGTATGTTGTTGTTGTTAAGTGCCATCAAGAGAGAGAGTCTAGAGAGATTTGGAGATATATACATGCCCTGGTGATGCTGTATAATAAGCACTGGACTGCTTACCACAAGGTTGGCAATTCAAACCTACCAGCTAGTCCTCAGGGGAAAGATTAGACTGGTTGCTTCTGTAAGGATTCACAGTCTGGGAAACCCTATATATAGTTGTTATGGGTCAGAATAGACTTGCTGGAAATGGGTTTTTCATTTGGTGTATATATATATATATATTGTTGTTGTTGTTGTGATGTGCCGTGGAGTAGGTTCCGACTCATAGCAACCCTACACAGGGTTTCCGAGGCTGTAAATCTTTATGGGAGCAGACCGCCTCATCTTTCTCGTGCGGAACCGCTGGTAGTTTCGAACTGCTGACCTTGCGGCTCGCAGCCCAATTCGTAACCACTACGCTACCAGAGCTCCTTATATACATCTTTATTCAGTTGTTAGAAGATACATTTTAAAGAAGATATTACTCTCATACATATATAAAATAAAAACACATCCTA